GTCGCCTTCCACACCTTTCCTCCTCCTATTCTTTCTCCCCTCAGCGGCGCAGCAGCAGACTACCCCACCGCTATCCCTCCTCCTCGTATTTCTCCCCTCAGCGGCGCAGCAGCAGACTACTTCGCAGCTATCCCTCCTCCTCTTGTTTCTCCCCTCAGCGGCGCAGCAGCAGACTACTTCGCTGCTATCCCTCCTCCTCTTGTTTCTCCCCTCAGCGGCGCAGCAGCAGACTACTTCGCCGCTATCCCTCCTCCTCTTGTTTCTCCCCTCAGCGGCACAGCAGCAGACTACTTTGCCGCTATCCCTCCTCCTCGTATTTCTCCCCTCAACGGCGCAGCAGCAGACTACCCCGCCATTATCCCTCCTCCTCTTATGTCTCCCCTCATCGGCGCAGCAGCAGACTACTTCGCTGCCATCCCTCCTCCTTGTATTTCTCCCCTCAACGGCTCAGCAGCTGACTACCTCACCCCTATTCCTCCTCCTCTTTTCTCTCCCCACAACTGCTTTATTGCTATTTCCTCCCCCATATGGGGCCTCTTCTCACTCTTACCTCTCTTCCTCTGCGCTTCCGCCCTCATCCTCCTTCTACCATACCTCCTCTCCTACCTTGCCTTCCTTACTCTCCGCTCCCTTCGCTGCCCCTTCCTCCCCTTGCACCTCTCCTCCTTGTTGCTGGACCTCCCCTCTTCTCCACTCCTCTGCTTTGATTCCGCTGTCCCATCAGCCTCACCGCTCTTCTGCCGCTGTAACCTCTGGTATTGGTTCTCTGGTCTCTGTCTTCAGTGTGACCATGCCCTCTCAGGATAGCATCCTTGGTGCTTCTCCTCTTATGGACCCTCGCTTTCTCATTCCATTTTCTCCCCCGCTTCTAAGCACTGCTTCTCAATTTCCCAGCCCTACGGCTGCCGCTCTCTCACTTCCTCGCACCTTGGATTTTGTCCTTGACAGTGTTGCTACTGACTCTGTCTTTCGTGATGCTGGTGTTCTTCGCAATTTTCCTCGTCCCCTCTCTATTGATGGGGCTGGGGAGACCATGACCATGATCTGCACAGGCACTTCCTCTCTTCCCTGTCCTGCCTCTCCCTCTGGCGCTGTTACTGGCCTTTATGTTCCCTCTTGCCGTCATAACCTCCTATCCCTTCCTGCCCTCCAACGCCTCGGTGTGCGAGCGCTCTTCCCCGCAGGTGAACTCTATTGTGATCTTCATTACCACGACCGGCACCTCGCTCGTTTCACCCTTTCCCCTACTACTCGCCTCTACACCCTTCATGTTCCCATTATCTCATCTGTCCATCACACTTCCTCCTCTTCTGCCCCTTCCGTCTCCTCTTGCGACTGTCGCTCTCTCACCCAACCTACCCTTCTTCTCCATCATCGCCTTGGCCTCCCCAACTTCCCTCTCCTTCGCAGCATAGTCAATTCAAAGCTGCTTCATGATCTCCCTTCCTCTCTCCCGCCCCTTCCCCACTCTCCCGCTCCTCCATGCACCCCTTGTGTTCAGGCCAAGCTGTCCCAATCTCCTCATCCTTCTTCCCCTTCTACCTCCCCCAAACCCCTTGATCTTGTGCATATGGACCTATGGGGTCCCTCTCCCATTGCCTCCCGTCAGGGTCATTGTTACTTTCTCCTTCTTGTTGATGACCACTCTCGCTTTGCCACTGTCTATCCCCTCCGTGCCAAATCTGACGCCCCCTCCCTCATCATTCGCTGGGCTGAACAGGCGCGCCTTCGCTTTGGTCGTCCTATCGTACACCTCCACTCTGATGGAGGTGGCGAGTTCTTTAACCACTCTCTCTCTTCTTATTGCTCCTCTCATGGCATTCGCCAAACCTCCACCCTTCCGCATTCTCCCGAACAGAATGGTGTTGCCGAGCGTCATATTCGCACTCTCATGGAGATCACTCGCTGTCTCCTTACTCATGCCTCTGCTCCACACTCTCTTTGGAGCTACGCTCTTGTTCATGCCACTCTTCTTTCCAACCTTCGCCCTCATCCCCTTCGCCCTTCCATTACACCCTTCCAGCTCTGGACTGGCCGCCAACCCTCCGCCCGCCCTCTTCAGGTGTGGGGCTGTGTCGCTCATGTCCTCATCAATCCCGCCGATCGAGCACGTCAGGGTAGGAAGCTCGCTCTCAAGACGCAGCTCTGTGCGTTCATTGGTATCAACGCTGACTGTCCTGGCTACCTTTTCTATGCTCCCTCCTCTCAGCAGCTCATTCGCAGCCAGGATGTTATCTTTGATGAGACTCGTTCTCCATTCGTCACCCCCCCTCCCACCCCTCCTCCTCCCTCTTCGTTGGTCTGACTTTGATCCGCTGCCCTCTGCTCCTCCCTCTCCTTCTCCCCTTCCTCCTGCCCTTGCTCCGCCTCCCCTCCCTGCCCCTCCACCTCCCCCTCTGCTGTCATCTCTGGCACCTCTCGTCCTGCCTCTTCCTCTTCTGCTCCCATGCCCTCTCCTTCACAACATCCTTCTCCTCTCCCTCCTGCTCCTGCTTCCCCACCCTCTCCCTCATCACCTCCTTCTGCTACCCTTCCTTCAGCTCCTGCTCCTCCACCTTCTCCCCGTCTCACCTGCTCCATGACCCGTGCAATGTCCAATTTTCAACACTCTGCTCTCTTTATTCGTCTCTCTCCCTCTCCAAACGTCGATCTTCTCGAAGATCGCTTTGAGGAGCTTTTCTCTGTTCATCCTGTCTCACCCCTCCTTTGTGTCACTATTGGCGACTTCTCCAATTCTCCCACTCTTCTCTCCATTGACACTGCCGATATTCCCACCCCTCAGACCTATTCCGAGGTAGTGTCTAGCTTTCATGCAACTGAGTGGATGTCTGCCATCATTGCCGAGTGTGAGGCATTCACCAGGACTCACTCTTACGTTGACTCTGTCCCCCCCCCTGGCGCCACCATTGTCAAGGGCAAGTGGGTCTTTCGTGTCAAACAGCTGCCTGGGGAGCTCCCTACCTTCAAAGCCCGTTACTGCGCCAAAGGCTTCACCCAACGTGAAGGCATTGACTACTTTGCCACTTACTCCCCCACTGCCCGTCTCCCCACTCTTCGCCTCCTTCTCGATCTAGGCGCCCGCTGGGATTGGGAGATTCACAATATGGACGTCTCCAATGCCTTTCTACAGGGCGAGCTACATGAACGCATCTTCCTTGAGCGCCCTGCTGGCTTCCCTCGCCCGTTCCCTCCAGGCACTGTCTGGGAGCTGAAGCGCCCTGTGTATGGTCTTAAGCAGGCCCCTCGCGAGTGGCATGCCAAGCTCGCTTCCACTCTTCACTCTCTTGGCTTCTCCACCTCCTCTTCCGACCCCAGTCTCTTCATTCGCACTTCCCCTCGCAGGCTTTACATTCTTGCCTACGTCGATGACTTGGTGCTCCTCGCTGAAGATTCTGCCGACCTTGCCGCTGTCAAGCAAGCCCTCCAGGCGCGACTCCTGTGCAAGGATCTCGGCGAGCTTCGTCATTACCTCGGCATGGAGATCCGTCGTGATCGTGCTGCATGCACCATCTCTCTCTCTCAATCCTTCTCCATCCACTCCAGTTTCCACTCCTCTTCTCGCTAACCATCAACTTTCTGCCCCTGCCGTTCCCGCTCCCTCCTCAGAACTGCGATTCTATCCTGAGCTCGTTGGGTCGCTCATGTATGCTATGATGTGCACTCGCCCCGATCTTGCTTACCCCCTCAGTGTCCTCTCTCGTTTTGTTGGCCTTGGTCGTCACACTGACGTGCACTGGGCAGCTGCCAAGCGCGTTCTCCGCTATCTCCGCGCTACCTCTGATCTTGCACTCACTCTTGGTGGCTCTTCTCCCCCCGTTCTTTCCGGTTACAGTGATTCCTCCTACGCTGATTCTCGCCCTGATCGCCACTCCTCTCAAGGTTATGGTTTTACTCTTGGCAGTGGCCTCATCAGCTGGCGCTCCACTCGTTCATCCTCTGTCTGCCTTTCACTTGCGAGGCTGAGTTGTACGCAGGCACGCTGGCGGCTTAGGAAGCTCGCTGGCTCTCGTTTCTCCTTCTTGAGCTTGGCCACTCTCAGCCCTCTGTGACGCTTTCCTGTGACAGTGCGAGCATGATTCACCTCACTCAAAATCCTGTCTATCACGCTCGCAGCAAACACATTGAGGTCTGCTACTTCTTCGTGCGCGAGCTGGTGCAGTCTGGCTTCCTCTGCCTTCGCAAGGTGGCCGCTACTGCCAACCTTGCTGACATTTTCACCAAGGCTCTTCTTCGCGCGCCACACCGTTTCTACGTGCGCGCGCTTGGGCTCACTCGTCTCGCCACTTCTGGGGGTGTTCCCGTTCGCTAGGTGTTTTGTTCCAGAGCTTCACCTAGCCTAGGGGTGTGTTGGAGTAAGCTAGAGCTCGCTCTGGTATTTATCCTAGTAATCTGTTGTTATTTTGCCATGTTTAGAGCGAGTTATCCTTTTGGTTCAGTTTAGGTTCATTTCTTAGTTTCTAGCACAAACTGAACACACCCTAAGTTCAATTAGGGTTTCATACATTTGTATCTCGACACTCTTTCCTAGTACCAATTCTCTCGCTATCTTCTCTCTTCCTAGCCATGGCTACCATACTCTCAGCCTTAACACTACTGTCGTCGATCTCCCACCGTCGACAGCCTCTTCGACAGTCCCTCGCAGGTCAACGACCACCTTCGACGACCTTCGTGTCGAGGGAGGCTGCTGATTCCCGTCGACGGCGGTGTCGCAGTGGTCCTCTGCAGGTTGACCCACTCTGTCAAACTGCACTTGTTGACCACTGGGGACAGCCGGCTGCACCTCTCATGCACCCGATCCCAAAGTTGGCTTCGCTCAAGCGAGGGTGGGGCCAACACCCCATTCCTGTCAACACTA